ATTTCTATCTTTCAATTGGCCGATCAACTTACTAATCAGGTTCTAAGGATGAACACATACAACTAGACAACATTTTTTACTAAATCCTTCGTTTCAGTAAGGAAATTTGTTTCGCTAAGAGTGTTATAATCTAATTTTAGTAGCTTTATAGATTTATATGTAAAAGAACAACACAAAGAAGACTAACATGTCCAAATCTGCACAAAAACGATCTGCAACGAGCGCTGCGAACAATAATGATCACAATCTAATGAAATATTTCAAGCGGGACGCTAATATTGCTCGTGTTACGGCTGCCGCCATCCCTGTTGGTTCATCCATCGACGTACCAACCGCTCCGGCAATGACATTCGATGCCTCACTGCCCCTCCTCTCTTTCTATGCCACTCCACCCGTCGAGGTTCAAAACACGCAAATTATAGACCACGTGGGAGAGGAGACACTAGAGCTTAATGTCACAAAATTAGGTACTGCACTGCAAGAAGATGGTAAGTTTCGTAAACTGTTAGGAATTTCTAACTATTATTGACATGTGCAGAGAGAATTTTTTGTACTTTAAGAAGTAATGGGTGAAAGCAGCAAGATTCGGATCAATACTGATAAAAATGATCAAATTGGGGTTAAACTCCGCATAATCGACTCTTTGCTCATCTGCTGCCACGATCTTATCAAGCAATCCACGTGATCGGATATTCCACATGAAATATTCGTACAAAACACGCTGAAGTTTTCTGAAAATCTAATTCACGCAGCGAACGATTTACAAATGATTTTAAAAAAAACTCAGCATACGATAGAGTCATATCGGCAATCGATCACATTTATAGAGCCAAAAAGTGACCAGCTAGTTGTACGTGATCCGGGTAAGATGCTATTAATCTTGGAATAACTCGAGACCTTTTATTTTTTCACTTCACAGGCCACTACGGTGAGCAGAAGTATTCAGAAGAAGAATTGAACTACCTTGTTTCGGTCGGACCATATCGTCCTGTTCTGACAAATTTCCCGAAAAATAAGGAACTGGCGGCGTCGAAAGATACCTGCAAATTTGCTGCGAAATGGTACGATGAGTATTCATTTCTTGAATATAGTGAAGCAAAAGACGCCGCATTTTGTTTCACCTGCCGTCTTTTCCACGAAGGTACGGCTCATATTTAGTGGTTCTGTTTCCATTAACTACGGTTTGGTGTATCTTTTAGGCCCTGGTGACGATAAAAAAGAAATCGCCTGGATTTCAGTCGGTGTTAAGTCGTGGGCTAAGATGAAAGGGCGTGGAAAGGATAAAAAAGGTAATTCTTCAAACTTCAATTCATCTATTCATTTCTTTTCTTTCTAGGGAAACTTGAAAAACATTTCTCATCTACTGCCCATAAATCTTCTCAAGATCGATATATGATCTTCAAAACAAAGAGTATGAACGTCGACATTATGTTGAATAACGATTGCAGACGTGCTCAACAACAACAGGAAGCTATACTCGAGTTGAATAAACACATCGTCCTTACATTGCTGGATTCCGCTCGTTATCTGGTTAGACAAGGGTTGGCGTTTCGAAGAGAGCCTGAAGAGGAAGGTATC